AGTCTACAAAGTCATAAACTCTTAATATACTGAGATTTCGGTAGCCTAAAGGTGGAAAGATATTCACAGATTCGAGGTTGCCTGCGCAATAAGCCAAACATTGTTAAAACACACAATGACACCCCCTTTCAACTGCAGTAAGGTGGACAACGAGGTACAATTCATTTTCAGCGGTCCTCCAGTTGGACAAATGAGTCCGATTACAGTTAGTGACAGTTTACAGTGTGCAACACCAAAAGGAGACAAGCCTACAACATTATTCGATAACTACCATCTTAGACAGCAGTACCATCCATTTTAGCTCCATCATCAGGGATCTAAAGTTGGTACAACCCTTCATTTGTATAAATGTGATAATTTGCGGGAATTTTTTTTTTTATTGGGAAAACATTCAATAACTTCACTCTGCAGTGTTACCAATATCACTACTACAACGTTCAGTGTGGGAAATGTGCTTTTACATCCATCATGGCTGCTCCGTCCAGTGTTTATATCCAGTTTTGGGAAGGTTAGGCTACTTCAACGTAATGGATTACAGTTAACCTATACCCCATTGAAAATTTAATAGCTAACGCACTATACTTAAAAGTAATGTCACGTCTTTCTACTTTTAATTTCTTCTTTAAAATGGTTTAAACAGATACAGCTGATTTTCCAGCGTTCTTGTCTGACAGCATGGCCACCCGCACCCGCCTTGGCGTTGTGGCAGATTCGGGTAGAGCATGGGTGTAATTAATGGTGGGGATGGTGGAGACATGTCCCTACCACTTAGATGATTGCCTAAAAGTGTCTCCACCACTACTTTGACATTAATTACCCATGCATTTTAATCAAATGTGTTCAGTCAGAGGAGAGAGCTCACTGGAGCAGGCTGTCCGTCGCAGGGCTTCTCTTCTGTGATCATAACGTCACGGTACCGGCCTTGTGTCAAAATCTGTCCCCCCGTCCAGATGTGTTCTCCTTGTTAAACCTATGATTCTAGTAGCACCTATATGGTTAGGCCAAGGTTAGTTTCACGTTAGAGGAACAGATCGTCACAACACCTGTATCAAATTAAATAGACTACTTGTGATTTGGGTAAAAATAACCAATTCTGTTTTTTTCATGTTGGCATTATAACTGTTGCGCTTTGTGTTCACTTACAAAATCTTACTGGCAGAGGTGCGACTGCGTTTATTTGCGCTATAGACTATAACCATCGTGATGCAGTCAAACATTTCATCTCATTGAGTCACTGCTAACGCCTCTCTTTATTCAGTCTCTAGCTCACGTAACCACATCTGTCCCCTCTTTCTCTCTGTCTCTCAGGTGCAGTGAAATTTAAATTTGGACACACTTTTCTGACATATTTCTTTGGCATCTTTTTTGTAAAGAACCCATTTTGCAATGGCTCCTGTGTAAATAAACAACCTCCTCGCTTAAATGGCGGTGAAAAACGTTCAGGGCCACATGAACTCAGGTACTTTCTGGGTGACTAAACAAATTTCTACAGAAATGAAGTAACATATTGTTTTTCTACTTGGCACATTGTAAATGTCAATCAAGAGCTGGAACTGTCTTTGCATTCATCCAAATATGTGACCTTCCTGGATTGTTACTTGTCCACTTGACAACCTACAAAATCCTTCCCTCAGAGATGTGATTCTCTGCCTGGCCTAAGCTCTGATTCCTGTATGGACAAACACCAGGTACTATACTGTCACTGACAACTATATCTGACTAGTTTTGTCATTGCACTTTAACAATTACATTAGATCGAGGATGTGCTCAATGGGATAGCATTAAAGCGCACGGGTCTGTCTCACTCTCTCTCTCTCCGATACCCAGATTGACAGCCACAAAATTAAGCGAGACACCTGAACTTAACAAAAGGTTACTGTACATGCAAGGAGAGAAACTGGTTTAAAACATTTCTCGGACAAGGGTGTGCTTTTTGAAGTAACATTCCGGCTGACAATTCCTACGTATTCATTCCTCTGGACTTTCTTGTCCGGGGGTTTTCTGTCCTTTCCTGTCTCTCTTTGATGTCAACATTACCAACAAAGCTAAATGAGAATGAATCAACCTCCTAATTTGCTATACAAGTTAAATTAAGGGAACTTCTGATTCCCAATACAACAATGGATAATAGGTAAACTCACTGATTCTGTGCTTATTGGTGCATGTTAATTTCTGATAAATGTAACAACCAAGGATGTTGCCTTTCTGTGTGGAGTTTGCATCTTCTTCCTGTGCGTGCATGGACTCTCCGGTACTCCGGCTTCCTGACACAGTCCAAAGACATGCAGCTTAGCTTGATTAGTGACTCTAAATTCCCCTTAAGAGCGAGTGTGGGTGTGTGTGGTTCTTTGTCTATATGTCAGCCCTCTAACCGATTAACAGATGAAACCTGCAGGCCTAACCAAACAGTTCAGTCTGGGAGCTAGGCAAAGGAACTAAAGCAAAACCAGAAAAACTAACCAAGGGCCTTTACTGGCACACATACCGACACACAAAGGAACAAACCAAAAGTGGACAGGACAGGAAACGTACAATGCAAACCTACAAGGTGTAATTAGCAGAGATAAAGCAAAGGGAGGAGAATATATGGGCTGGAGACCAGGGGATAATGAGCAGCAGGTGGAAGAAATGAGTAGTGATTAAGAACCAGGGTAAAGCTGGGGCAGGTGAGGTGACACAAAACAGGAAACCAAACAAAATAAAAGCACAAAAACAGGACGCAAGTCCAAAACCATGACAATTATATAACTGAAGTTATGTTGAAGAACCTTTAATAAAGGTTTGACAGTAATAAGTGTCGAGTACTGTTGTGAGGCTTATATTGCCTGCATGGTTTAAATTTATGTTAGGACGTTTCAGCTTTATTGCCCAGTGTAAAACATTTTCTTAAAAAAGTAATTAAAGGTAATGCTATATTACCTTGATGAAGTAATTGGAATAGTTACATATTTACAGTTTTAATAGGGTAACTAGTCATCTGTAACCCTATTACATTTCAACAATCCCCTTCCCAACACTGTTCAGCAAAGGCCCACTTGACAAAGATCTATTTTGCTGCCATCTATTGGCCACAGCGGAAACTTTCATGGAGCATTGTTTTGAATTGTGGACAAATGAGGTAATATTGTCCGTTGTTTAGACTCTACATTACATATAATCGTTAGATATTCAGTATAGTCTTTGTAGGATATTTGCACCAAGGGGTATCCTACAACACCCACATAAGGCTAAATAATGGTAGGCTAAATACAACCCCAAATCAGAAACAGTTAGGACTGTATGTAAAATCAAAATTAAAACAGAAAATAGTGATTTGTAAATCATGTGTGTCCTGTATTACGTGGAAAACAGTACAGCAGGCCATTATTTGATGTGATACCTCATCAATTTTATTCTTTGTTAAAAATAAACACTCACTTCAGTTCTGATCCCTGCAACACACTCCAAAAAAAGTTGGGATGTCTGCATTTCCAGTAATGACGTAAAACAATGAAATGATGATTCAGTTTGAAACAGGTGATGTTAACGGGTGAATGCGATCATGATTTGGTACAAAAGTGGCATCCAGGAAAGGCCGAGCCCTTTAGGAGCAAAGATGGGCCGAGGACTGCCAGTTTGCCAACATATGCCTGAAAAAATTATTGAAACTTTTAAAAATCATGTTCCTCAAAGAAAGATAGGAAGGGATTTGGATATGTCACCCTCTACAGTGTATAACATAATTAAATGATCCAAAGAATCTGGAGGGATTTCAGTCTGTAAAGGGCAAAGGGCACAGGCCTAAGCTGGATGACCATGCTCTCTGATCCCTCTGGCACACCTGTGTCAGACACTGCAATACATAGATACATCTATACATGGTGCTTAAAACTGTACTGTGCCAAAAGGAAGTCCTGTGTCAACAGTGACCAGAAGCGCAGTCGACTGCTCTGGGTTCAGAGGCATCTGTGACGGACCATCACACAGTGGAAACGTGTACTGTGGTCAGATGAATCAGTGTTTCAGGTCTTTTTTGGAAGGAATGGATGCTGTGTCCTCTGGGCCAAAGACAAAAGGGACCATCCAGACTGTTACCAGCAACAAGTCCAAAAGCCAGGATCTGTCATGGTCTGGGATTGTGTCAGTGCCCTTGGAAAAGGTAACTTACACTTCTGTGATGGCTCCATTAATGCTGAAAAACACAAACAGATGTTGGAGCAACATATGCTGCCTTCAAGACAACATCTTTTCCAGGGATGCGCCTGCATATTTCAACAAGACAATGCAAAACCTCATACTGCACACATTACCAGGGCCTGGCTGTGGAGGAAAAGGGTGCGAGTGCTGGACTGGGCTTCCTGCAGCGTCGACCTGTCCCCAGTGTGGGACATTTTAAATGCAAATTGTGTCATCACTGTTGTGTACCTTAAGAATTGTTTGCAGGAAGAATCAGACAAAATTACTTGATGCACTTAATCACTTGTTGTCCTCAGTCCCTAAACATCTTTTAAATTGTGAAAAGGAACGGCAACATCACAGCGTGGTAAACGCTTTATTGTCCCAACTTTTTTTGGAATGTGATGCAGCCATCAAAATCGAAGTCAGTGTTTGTTTTGAACAAAGAATAAAATCGATGAGGTATCACACAATCAAATAATGTGCTGCTGTATTGCTTTCAATGTAATACAGGACAGATGATTTACAAACCGCTATTTTCAGTTTTAATATTATTAATTTTATATAGCATCCCAACTTTTTCTGATTTGGGGTTGCATTTCCTCTAAATATACATAGTACACATATAGTGATACAACCAATTTAATGTCGTCATATTTTGTTTACACTATTTTTAAAGACAAGCCTAATTTTATTTTAAGAAGTCATGGCAGACTGGAGGTCAGTTTATCTAACACCTAAGTGGACATGTAGAGATGTGCACTTTAGCATTCAACAGTGATTATCTGGCTTTGTCTTAAATTATGTGCTCCACGGCGCCTGCGCATTACAATGTCCGTTCTGATTGGTTGAGACGATCAACCCACATTTCCGGTACGACCCATAAGAATAACCCTGATGTTATAGACAAAATCGTCTGCGCTTCATATCAGTTTGTGCTCCTTTACATTATGTCAGCCCCCGGGTTTCTGCTGGTGGTCCTTGCGTTGTCCCTTTGTCCCGGTAAGATAAAGATTTACCGACAGCGACTTTAATGTCTGCATCACTGTCACCTGACCGATCGCCATTAATTGTGTTGTCAGAGATAGCCTGAGGTTTTCGTGGGATATACTGACAAATTACATTTGCAATAAGAAGCTATATTCTGACATGTTATTTTTATTCTCTATTTCTCTCATTGTGCATCCTTCCACTGTCTGCCTCGCGTTTTTCACCGAAGGAGACTCCACAGATCCTTTATCATTTATCGAACAGAAATCTCTGGTAAATCTTTATGGGACTATATTCGTTTCAAAATAATACACACTACTGTACCTCTTTTAACCATATAATACTAAATGCCAAAACCATAAACAATATAGTAAAAATCGATGTCTCATTACATTTTTACACGGTTATGTGTTCTATTGCGTGTATAAAATAACAGCCCATATATTTATTCAATCTGGGTGATGGTCTTGGCATCTACAGTCATTGGGCTAATAGAATTTTTCTGACATTTAATCTTAAAGCGTGCACATAATGAGCAATAAATGAACATTGCAAAATGAAACACTGCCATGTCATATGTTTGAATGTAATTTTGCTCACATTGTCTTCAGACCTAAATAACTGTCACACTATGGCTTCTCCTTATTAGACACTGGACATCTGTTCAGAATGCAGCCAGACCATCCAGCTGTCTGCCAACATGATTTCCAGCTCAGATACTAAGGCAAGGGATTCACTCACTGCACTTTACTTTCACTTCACACTACAACTACACAAGCCTTTTTTTTTTGGACATGCTTAGTAAAGAAACATGCCACACCCAGCAGCTGGGATACCTGTAAAGTCTTAAAAGTTTAACCTAAAATGGATTTTATTATAAGGTAATTGCACATTGTAGATTCAGTGAGAGAAATTCTAATATTTAAATGTCAGGGCATTGAAAAGCTACTTATACATTGCAGATAAATGTAGGTTTCTACTTGAGTTGGAAAAACACATTTAATGGTTTATTTTCAACACAAGCATACCCCACATAACCTTGCCACACAGACTATATACTAACTACTGTGCTTTTGCAGGAGACTATATATGAAACCTTGCACGCTCTGTGCCAGCACCTCCCAAGAGAACAGGCAGCAGAGTGTGATTCGCAGGTGAAGGTGTATTTGCCAAAGGTCCTGCAGCAAACACCTGGTCACCTGGTGAGATTCCTTTTAGACACATGAAGAAACCTTAAACACTACTGCCTGCAATTTGCTTTTAATGTCCAATGTGTTTTTGTAGAAACCAAGGGAGACCTGTATGATTTTTGGGCTTTGTGCTGCCCACAAGAAGGAAGAACCGCTCACACTTCCCCACCAGGCCACTGATAAAGAAATCCCCAGCCCGGCACTTGGCACAGTCAGCAAAACTCAAGTTAGTTTGAGAAAGCAGAAGTGAGATGTGAAGTGAAACCTTTTATATCTGCTTTGTACATCTGACTTCTTATCAACCAATTTCCTCTCTAGGAGCAGTTCAACCCAGTATGCACCCTGTGTTTGTTTATTATAAAGAAACTGGAGACCTTGTTGCCCAAAAATATGACTGAGGTGAACTCCCCCCACCCCCCACATTTCAAAGTTTTGCTTATGATACAAATCTCTCACCATACATCACATCATGCAAGTATCTTCTCTTCCCTTACCCTGCAGGATACTTTAATGAAGCTCATGGGAGAGGTCTGCGATCTTGTACCTCAAAGCTATAAGGACCAATGTAATGACTTCGTCAACAAATATGGCTTAGAGATAGTGGAATTCCTCTTATCATCTGCTGCACCGCACACAATATGCTCTCTCTTGCACCTCTGTCTGTTCAAGGAGCAGCCTCTTCCAGGTCAGTCACATTTATCATAAATACAACTGGCCATCATCTGTTTATCAGTTGGACCTGAGCCCAACACTTCCTCCGTCTCACCAAGTTTACGCTCTGCTGATTTCCCAGAGGCGTTCTTCCCTTCGGACTGCGACTCGTGCCGCACGCTGGCTGTGCTGAGCCGAGTGCACCTGGGGCTGAACTGCACTGAACCTCAGACTTCTTCTTTCCTGCAGTCTGTGTGTGTCAATCACCCCGATGCCATCCCCAAGGTTTGACCCTCAGTTCCTAAGTATCCTTCATTACAGTATCAAAAGCCTTCACAAATCATTATAACTATATTTTATGCTTAAACCAGACAACATATGTATTTTGTCTGTCCTTTATATATTATCATGTATGGCTACTCTCTGCTTATTAGACCTTTCAGTTGAGTCATTTGTTAAGTAACTCTCATGCTCTTTTCAGTGCGAGGCTTTCACCAAAATCTACGGCTCCCAACTGCAGAAGTTTTTGGGAAACCAGATGGATGGTCCGCATGCTTGCGAAGTAAGAGATAGCTTAAAAAAAAAAAAAAGGCTTTACGTACAGTTGACCTATCTCACTGAATGGAAGAGGATTTGTCTACAACATGTGGCATAGTCCTGCTGTCAGGAGGTCTGCTCCTACCAGGCAACAAGAGACCAGGGTTGAAATTAGCACACCAACTCCTTTGAATTGTACCATTACTTGCAGTAGCACATTTCCTTTGGTGACTAAATATTATACATACACACATTAGTTGATTTACCAACACGTATTACATCTTGGTCTGATCAGTTTTCTCTGAATCTGTCTCCTTCAGAGAGCTGGTCTGTGCATTGCCTTGAAGAAGCTGGAGCCTCTGGGGAAGAATCGTTGTACTTGGGGACCAAGTTACTGGTGCAAAGACATGGAAACTGCCCAGAAGTGTGGTGTAAGTTAAATTCAAAGAATTATTGCTAATTTAGCTGTTAAGTGATGCACAGCTCGGTCCTTTCATCTGACAATGACAGAGCACAGCATGTTAATGTTTTAAGTGCTACTTTGCCTCTAGGTGTACTTCAGCTACTTTACCTGCAGTAATTTTTTTTTTCTGAGTAGAATATTTCATACCCATCAAAACTGACCCAGATTTTACTCAAGTACTAGACTTTAAGATACTGATTCAGGATTACAGTGTTTAGTTCTATATTGAAGGAAATACTGCCTTATTTGTCTACATTAGTGACTTATGTGTAGTAATCATGCAATACATAGTCATAGTAGTAATACATGAAGTACTACAAGGTCTACATGAAGAGTCCAAAATCACTCACTCTGCATCAAGCATGAAAGGTTTTGTCAGTTTTGAAACTGACATTCCAGGTCACAATTTTGTCTTGGAAAATTAGGTTGAATCTGGCTTCATATGTGGAAAATGCTTTTTTTTTTTTTTAAGAGCCTGTTTTGGGAAATTAGGTTGAATCTTGCTTCATATTTTGAAAATTCTTTTTTTTTTTTTTAAGAGCCTGCACACGGTTCAAGCACAAAAGTGTTTCCTCTCCCCTACGCTGATCTGCACAGTAATATTTTAAACTGTTGGAAGCAAAACTGTGATTGAATCAATAATTTCACATAATATTCTATGTATTTTCTATCTGCAGAATCAGGCCTTCTGTGAGAAATACATGTGGAAGAAGAATGAATGAATGAAGCAAACTGCCACTCTGACAATATGTGCACACAGAGAGCTACTTTCTTTTTACACCTGTATTGCACAGACCAACTGCTGAAAGTTTTATAAATGTAATACACTGATCATCTTCTTTTTTTATTGCTTGGGGAAATCAATCTCAAATGCTCTTTCAGTCAATCAGCTATAAATACTGATCATATCATTTTTTTCCTCATTTGCATAAAGTGTTGCAAGACTGAGGCTGGTAGGTTCTGTCATGATTTTAAAGACAGTGTTATTCTGTACTTTATATATGCCATTGTGAATGTGAGAAATGGGGAAAAAACTCTGTCCCTGTGTCAACCACAAGATGCACTCTCCCTCACTATTAAAGACTGTTTGGACAACCACTCAACAAGAACGTTGCTTGTTTTGTTATCCTGCTGCTGTTCTGCCTGGTTCAAATAACCACATATATACATGACAGACTGCTATAAGTGAATATCAAAAGTCAGATGTTAAAATTCAACATACAAAACAAACCTGTATCCTGGAGCTTGTTTATTTAGAAACAGCCATGTAGTAAAAAGATAAAACAGTGAAAAACAAAAAATATGGGGACATTTACATGTGATGCTCTGCTGCCACTCACTCTGTATTATTATGTTCAATCATTTAAATACACACAAGTGACAACTCTGCTGGCCATTTACACAGAAAAAAATCCTGTCTTGCTTACATCCCTGTGTGGTTGGTTTTGTCATCCTCACTCTCTTTTCTCTTCCAGATCTGTTGAGAGAAAAAAAAAAAATTTACCTAAATGAGCGCTATGCAAAAGTTTAATTAAAACAGTCTGGTATGAAATATGGTTCTGATAATACATTATCTTTACACTCCTAATATTCCATGATTAACTAAAGTTTAAGTTAAAGTTTTTACCATGAAACTACTTGATTTAGTCCTACACCAAGTCTAATTTTGGCAGAGGGCAAAACCCCTGAAATCACCACTCACAAATGAAGTGAGAGATTTATCAAATTGTTTGTAGCTCTTTGGGGAGGCATGACCTTGTTTGTTATTTTATAGTAGTAAAATATATTCAAATTGCAAAAATACTTTTTAAGATGCCATCGCATAAAACACATTGATACATTTAAAAGATAATGATTTGCAGATTTTCGATTATGTACGATCAGAAAGGAACTTGCATGTTATAAAGGCTTAATACTGGCCAAATCAGAATCTGAAACCATCTGCCGTCTCCAAAAATTGAAACATTGCTTTAAACAACATCAGATGAAATAGGACTTTTATGTAATTTATTGTTACACAGAAAAATGTGGAACTGGTGCACTGCAACATTTACCAACATGTGGACTGAGTGGGGGGGACTTGCCTGGATGTAGGCTTCTGACAGCGTGATCATTTGGGGAAGAATGTCAGTCACTTGCAGGTCCTGCATCTCATACCACTTCCCAGTTCCCTGATTAAACACAGAGACAACCAACGGTCAGTGACAATGTTTGAACACATACACTTAATGAATTTCTTTGGTTGTTTGTGCTTAACGCCACAAGACAGAATGGACATTTCAGAAATATCTGACTGCAACCTACATGATGCAGAACATGTATTCTGTATGCTCCCTCAGAGGGTTTCCCATCATGCACTACATTGGCAACGAGGTCATATGTTGTGCTCTTCTCTGTAACTTGAGCTTCTTCTGTCAAGTACTCACGAAGGTCTACATTCCTATTGAAGAAAGTAGAATGTGATAACATGAACAAATGCATATTCATACTGAATAAAATACATACATCCTTGACATTACTTCAAAAACAAACAAAATTAAAAACGACATTTACCATTACCATTATTCACTTATAGGTTTTGACCACAGTTAGGTATTTCACCTTAAGGTATGAAAAGCACTTACGTGATAGGGAAGTTGACAATTGTGGGGTTCTTTTCCACAAAGAAGTTGTTCTTGGTGAATCTTTTGATGCAAAAGATGAGGTATGGAGGCAGTTTGGTCAACTGGAACCTTTTGAGGAAATTCTCTTTGTAGGTTTTGTACTCCTGTATGTAAATGAGACAGGTACATGTGCACATATATAATCTATTTTGATTATTTATACTTGTGTCATTGTTGCATCTAAATAAAACTGTTGTTGAGATTACACACTTTGTCTGCATTTCAACACCAGAGGTGGAACATCTGCTTTATTTATTTATTTTTGTATTAATTTCATTTGGCGTTTAATGTACATACTTTGCGAAGGAATCAGTACCTTCTCTGTGCTGCCACTGAACTTGGCCAGGATGTTGAAGAGAGGGACCTGTGGGATTATAAGCTGCTCCTTCTCATCCTTGTACAGTGGAGCTGTTGGGAGGTCAAGGGTCAGAAACAGGAAGGTGGACTCAGACATCCGCTCCTGATATTCCTCTGTCACAAGCAATGCCTCTTTCTCCTCTGGTGGCTAGAAAATAAAATAAAAATAATCATCATGTGGATACAAACAATTTAACATTACTTTTTCACAGCGAATAGCATACACGAGATAATAGCTGCATCTCAATTAAGGGGCTGCATCCTCCAACGAACGCAGTCTACAAAGGCTTGGCCTATGTAGCTGTCATAGACCGTGAAGGCCAGACCATGGGGTGTGCTGGTCCTGTTGCCTAGCAACCTTGACAGCTCTGCTTTCTGTCAGTGCGCAAGGAATCTTGGGATAGACTGAGCTGTGAAGGATTCACCAGTTGAAGCCTTCGTTGCCCAGTGAAAGGAGGACTGAGTTTTCGGCAACACTATGATGCAATCAGTCTTCAAATGCAGCCTTTGAAGGATGCGGTCCCTTAATTGGGACACAGCACGTATGAACTGACTATCAGAGGAGGTACATTCTCTGTCCTGAAAGACGTAGAATTTTCTCTCTGGCCTTCACTTCAAATCTGAGTTCAGCTTTGACTTGGCCTCTAAATTCAATAACCAAATAAATTCATAAGTCCTTTTCAACTTTGGTTAAGTATTTTAAAAATAATAGGACATCATTATTAATAGCATGGTTCATATGTCTCAGTTACTGAGTTCATACACCAGCAGCAAACCTACTAAATCTGGGTGTGGAAGTTTCTTGGAGAAGATCCGCATGGATCCTTGAAATGCTTTTGTAATGATGGCTAAAATGGAAGAAAGATGAGGACAAAGGTTAGTTCTCATTATTTTAAAAACAAGCCTTAGATTAAAAAAAGAAACATCATTTCTATTTATTATAAGACTGCATTCTCTGAAAACTCTGAAAATTTTACTATTAAAATGCCAACTGTGTATTATGATCTAACAAATCAGAATAAAAACTCTTGGGTTCCTCTCCCACTCACATGGCTTTTTCTTTGTGCCTCCAAGAGCACCATGCAGAGCATTCAAGAACCATGTCATAAAGTCCACAGCATCTCCTGCAAAACAGAAAACTCAATCATGACCACAGCATTATCTACAGTGGCATGTGTTAAAATCCTATATGTCCTCTCTTTTTGTCCTGTATATTGCTATACAAATCTTACCCTGCTTTGTAATTTGGAAGTTCTTCTTGCTGCAAAGCACCACGGCCTGCAGCATCTCATGGGGAGACACGTGAGCCTTGAAGTTTCTCGGATTCCAAAGTTTGCGCATTAGCTCACCAAATCTCTGTACCAAGAGGAACATAATGTCCCCCGGTGGCCTGCGGATTCCTCTGTAGTTTTCCTCTTCAAGGAAGTAGTTTCGCAAAGGTGGAACATTGGAAAAAGCCTAGGAAGAAAAGGCAATTATACAATAGTGGTATTGTGTAAAAAGTATGACTATGGAAAAATAAGGTGGCATACTGTAGCAGTTTATACCTGTAACACCACATTGGCATAATCATTGGCTTTGATGTTATTGAGCCCTACAATGCCTGGCAGGTAGGTCGTACCATCATAGGCTCGGTACAGTTTACCCTGTTTGTCCAGCCCTGCAATGTGCTGCTTGGTGAAAGTTGGTTTCAGCACATACTGTAGAAGAAGAATGGTCAACAAATTACAAATACAAAACTAGAGTTTGAAAATACTGGGGAAAAATTGAACAGAACCTTGAGTGCCTTAATAATGACGCAAATGTCATGTTTTGATGGTGTAACATTTTTTTAAAATAACTGATATGATCACATGTGACTGTCAAGCATATGTTCTCAATGACTAAATCTAATTCAACATTGAACTTTGCTTTAATTTTAAACTTATTCTCAACCCTAATATTAATTCCAAGTTTGGTATTAAGAGCACCATTTTATCAGGCTAAAACCCAATGACTCTACTTACTGTTATGTCTTCTAGTGAAGAGTCAATGATCTCATAGTTGTCTGGTAGACAGTAAAACTTGAGAGTGTGCAGATTGAGAAATACATGATGCGCAAACTGTACACTGTGAGTATAAGCATGGGACTTCAGACCTCTACCTGCAAGGACACATACATGAACCAGTCAGTCCAAGTACAACAATGGGTTTGTCCATGCAAAAAAATGCCAGATAATTGAGCTACCTTGAAAATATTTTCCACATACAAGGCAGGCATACACATTGATGTGGGAGAGAGAGATAGAGCAGAGCTTCTCAAAGTCAAAATCCAGCACACTCCTGGAAGAAGAACAGACAAAACTAGGAATCAGCTCCAGAGCTATAATGGACAAGATGGCTAACTAGCATTTAGCCAAAACGTTAGATTTGCACATTCTGCTTTATCTTGCCTGTTTATGGTGTCAAGATAAGGGCAATGACGGCTTCTGCGGTCTTCCACTACACGTCCTCGTCCTATTTTGGCTACCACTGCAACATGAGGTGAAACACAATGAGCAGAGTCAATTCAGACTGTGTACAATTAGTTGACTCTAAGATAGCTAAACATGCTAGCTAACCTATCGTTTAGGTTGTTGGCACATAATTGGTTTAATCCACAGGGTACGCTGGAAGAACGGTACAATTTGTTGTAGCCACATAGTATTGGTACTTGTTGACCCACCCGGGTGTAACCGGAGGGACAGATGAAACAAAATCTAACGCACTGTCATCTAGCTGCTAGTTAGCTACCGGCTAACCAAATGTATGGCAGATGCTAGAGAAAAATTAACTTACCTCCGTTTTCATTGTCATCATCGTCCACTTCAGCCTCTCTTTCTCGCTTTATAGAAACCATCACAACAGCTAGCTTGCAAGTTAAATGTCAAAGCAACATAGAAGAGACAACTTTATGGGAAGAGATGACTCGATCAATACCGTGCGCGTCGAAACTCGCGGTACGTCGAAGTTAGCAGATAGCAGACTAAAACCTAACTCGGAGTTTGTAGCTAAGTTAGCTAGCTTCATCAATCCGAGCTACCCAGTCACTAACAAGATAACCGAATTTCACAATACAGTTGTTGAATGTTTTGTAATTTATAATTGTTTTATTTTGTTTCAAACTGCGCTTTGCGAGTATTCAGTAATATTGTTAATGAACTCCGGGAACATTACAATTGGACAACAATTTATCATTACCTAGCATGTAGCTTTTTGTCAGTGTACGGTGCTCTGATTTAGGTTTGTTGCAAACATTCGCTCATAAATACTGTTTTGGAGCAGTTTGTTGAAATGGATATTTTAAGAGACGAAGAAGTCCAGGAGCTGAAATACAAACCAGGAGGCCGTTTGGATATGAGCCATGGCTTCCTGCACCATATCCGGAGGAACCAGATTGCTAGGTTATTTTCCAAACTACTGGTAGCTAACGTTACTGCTAGTAGCTACTCGCCACAATATATAGAGCTGCAGCCATATTAGTTTTTTTTTTTTTTTACGTTATATATTTATGTTTACATAAGTTGATCTTATAGTACATTAGCAGGGCAGGTAATGATTAATGCGCCTGTTTTTATGCGCAAAGTGAAAATACAAGGAAAGATTGTACGGGAAATATGTTTTGCATTGCGTGTATGACACACCATGTGGTATAACATACATTTTCCACCAACAAAAATGTTGACACAGTCTGTCAATTCCAGAGATGATTATGATAAAGAGGTGAAGCAAGCCAAGGAGCTTCAAAGGCGAAGGCACACCACAACCCCTAGGCGACCTCGTCGACCTGACATACAAGTGTACCATCCAAGACGAAGACGTAAGGTTGACGTGCCTTGTTAGATTTCTGTTGATGACCAAGTACACGCTAGAGTAAAGACAACGTGTACGTTATATGCTCATTTTCCAGATGGTTCAGAGCCAGGGGTCAGTGCTGAAGCTGAAGAGTGGAACGAGAGTGGGTCAAGCACAGAGACTGAGACTCATGGGAATGAACTTTTCTGGCTTGACTACCAGGCCGACTCTGGTACCGTTACATCCTTCCTTGTCCACAAGGTTAATGCATATCTTTTTGTTTTAATGTTTCTGGATTTTCATATTCTTTGGTCTACTTTAGTTTTGCTTGGTCTTAATTTCCTAGTGTTCTTTCTCTTTCTAAAGGAGGATAAACCTGAGAAGGTGGTGGAACGTGTTGCAGAAAAGAACATCTTGGATTCAACCATGAGGGCAGCTCTGGAGGTTCGGATTCGAAAGGAAATGGACAAAAGACGAGACAAACGCTGAGTGATATCAAAAGCAACAGTATGATGACAAAGAGGTGACAGGGGAAGACCTGGCGCTAATTTTTCAAGTGCAGCTCTGTGATCCTTTAAAGCATTAACACAGTGCTGGAGGAATAATCAGGAACTGGATTCCACACACTGACTATCAGCAGAGATCCAGTATAATGTCCCACAATCAAGTCTGAGAGGGAACAGCATAGACAGGTAGCTGACTGTCATGTCATGGTCACTATTTACTTACCTTGGACCATTACCTCGTACCCTGATTTATAACTTAAGGGACACATTGTACACCTCCAAGTTGGCTGGACCTACAAAACCATGTTGTTGCTTTCTAACAATGAATTTAGAAAGGAGAGGGTACTGTTTAACAGAGCCCTATGTTTCTTTGTTTACAAATATCTAGTTTTTGTAAACTTTTTTGTAAAGTACATTAAATATAACATCAGTCTATCAGAAACCTTATGTTTAGAAATGTGAGAATTTAGTTTTGTTTTTTAGCGAGTTGGAGAGTTTAGTGGATATAGCCATGTCTGTGTTTATGTAGCAACTGTGTGTGATTGTTTTGACTATTGTAATTTATTTTAGGTTGTTGAAATACTTATTTTTGATATTGTAATATATTAAAGACAGGTTTTAGTTATAAAAATGGCATTCATAAAAACATTTATTACTGCACAAGTGTGTTTTTATGTGCATTTGTGGAATTGAACAGCCAAGAAATGTGAACTTTTTTCCTAGTGTCTTGATGTTTTATACACAGTCAAATCTGTGGAAAAAAAAAATAAGTCAACACATTTGTAGACTAATCACTTCTGTTCTCTCATATTTATTGTCTGGAATACCTGTCACATGGAAGTGTTAGGCATTGCATTGTCAGCAGGTGTCAGTGTTAATCAACCCTGCAGGCCCATCTGTTTCAATCTTCCAAGTGCTTCAGCTGCATTTGTTAAATACTAACACATGAAATTTTATAATATGGTTGCATAGTGACAATTCACTCGGTCTATAAAGACCTGACTATGCAGTGTCATTTTTATACAAAAGACAATTTTGTCTTTCTAAAAATTAAAATGCATTGTGACTGAGGACAGTTCAGACAGTATGTTTTGCATTACATTTTACTTAAAAAGTTACAGAAAAGATTGAAGAACTGAGGCACCCTGGTTAGCCAAGAGGTTATAGGAAGCTAAACATGAACTGCAACAGTACTGGCAGCATTCATCTAGTGACCTTTGTTGCACATCAGTCCCCATCTCTCCCTTTATTTCCTGCTGTCTCTCTACTGTCTAATGATGATGCAAAATTCATCCAAAAACTGATAACAAAAGGAGAACTAAACTTTGAATCTGCAGAGTCACTGGTGTACAATCTTAGAGGCTTCTTGTCAGACCACAAGTGGTGGATTTTATACTCAAGGCTTTTTATGTCATTAGCCAGAGTCCATCCATCCATTAGGTCACCACTCTATCACAAGGCTGACTAATAGACAAACAACCACACAAACTCACATTCACTCCTATGGGCAATTTAGAGTTGCCAACCTAAGCTGCATGTCTTTATACAGTGGGATGAAGCCGGAGTACCCAAAGAGAACCCACACAAGCACAGGGAGAACCTGCAAATTTGGCAAAGTTGCAAACCTTCTTAATGTGAGACAACAGTGCTAAGCACTGTGACGCTGTGCCACCCTCATTAGCCAGAGTAAACTCTCATATAGGGTCCCTAAAGTTCTGTACCGGAAACAAATTCCTTGTGTGTAACATACTTGTTTGCAGTGGTACATATATGAATTTCATGTTATTGTGACAAACCAAAAATTCACATACTCATAAGCCGGTTGCCTACAACGAGGTTGATGTAAAGGAGAGGGATGTCTAGCTGTAGATTACAAATGCTGATCAAACAGCCCTGGAAAACGGAATTGAGAGAAGATTTGTTTTTCAGTAGTAATGCACAGGCTAAATGTATTATGTTCCATTCAAAAGACAATTTTCTCATCCCTGTGCTGTAAAGTGGGAAGTTCCACTATCCCCAGGCAACAAACAAAGTTAAAATATGAACAGACAAGCTGCTCCAGTACAGTTGGAGATTAATTCATTGTTTAGATTAATTCGTTAAAATATGCAAATTTGATCCTAAAAACACATGGGAGCCAAGCCTCTGGTTTTATATAAAACCATGTCAAGGAGGATCGCGGCCCTGTCATGCTATTGGTGGAACAGAGACGCTCCCCTTTAGACTGTCAACAGCTCACTTAGTCACCATGTGCCTGAAGTCATGAGAGGGGAAACACCTTCCTATCTCCAGTTTTTGTTGGCTGAAAATGACCCAATCACAACTGACACCTTCACATCATTTGCCTTTTATTGTGAGGCTACATGAACAAATATAATGCATCATGTGAGGTTTTGTAATTCACAGCCAGGAAACACCCATTAAATGTTTGAAAGCATGCACATAAAAGTACCTGTTGTGACAGGCATGCTGGGTGTACTGTCTAATCTGTTACGCTACATGTAATATATAACATATTTCTAATTAGACATCGTTGTGTCTACACTACCCTGTTTTGTAGTCATTTCTGACCAAGTACATGCAAGGTTATCTTGAAAGGGAGTATAACCACCTTGAAGCATTTGTCATTTCTGGATACAATCTGTAGATCTGCTTTGAAACTATTGCTTCCCTCATAGTAAATGTTCAGACACACATCAACAGTGCACTCACCAAACCTGCCAAAGTTAAGTCTCAGCAGCTTCAGCTTTTCTCTTACCATGGCTTACATCATGCCATTAGTTTTATTTATTGAGATACTAAACTTTCAAATAGTTATTGTGTAAACAAAGCAACATTGTCAAATTCAAAAGTAGACTATATTATCTGCCATCCCTCTCTCTGTTTGCCCATTATGGCTGAGTTCTGTTTGCTTTGTAGACTAAATATAGAATATATAGAAGAATATATTTGCATCCCATTTTTCACTCTTACATGTTAAAGAGCCCATGGCGCTTTTCCTTGTTTTTTGACTTATCTACAATGTTACAACAGTGAATTATCATCGTAGACGTGACCTAAAACTCAAACAATTTGGTACATATGTTCTAGTACTTCTGTGCAGAAGCAAATCAGTTTATACAAGTCTGGCAAACTCTCACTCGTGAGATTTTATTCTGACAAAATAAAGTATTACTTGATAGTTTAAGGATCTCCTTGAATGGTCATAATCTCTGGCAGTTGTGCGTTCATGTGAGCTTGCCTGACATCCACTGGTGCCATTTTAAAAGCTGAGTATTTCGACTACGTGTGGTTTTGTGGAAATATTTTACCTCCTGCTGCTGCACTGTGACCAGAGGATGTGGAGAAAAATACAGGGCCTGAGGTTACTGTATGTCTAGAAATGTTCCTGTACAGGGACTCGCTGTTTTACCTGACCGGGTCTAACCTACAAACAGCCAACCAGTGAAGCACCCTGCTGCAGTGAATGATGGAGCACATTACTTGTTTGTTTTGACTGCTTGAGGCCAGTGTGTCTGCAGCATGTGATGTGCTACCAGTTAACTAGCAGATTAACATCAATGATGTTATTGTTGGTGCTACACAACCTGTTGGAATTAATTTCACTACTTTGGGATTGTATGTGGCCGAGTGGGGGAATGATGTTTCCATTGCTCAGTGGGATTTAAGGGAAAGTTTTAAAAAACACATGTTGCATATCTGTTAATGTGTTGTTTCTGTAACGTCAGAGTAAGGCTGGAGAAGTTGCTATGTCTGCATTATGCCTGTTAAAATAAGATTTGATTTTGATTTGATTTGATTTGATTTATTCTTCCAAGCATGTAAAGACAGTTGATATGTCAACACACATAATTTTACACATATCCAACAAATGCTAATCCAATATCAATTTGCTTATACCTAGTACATGCTTGAATGGAGTAGGAAGAAGTCAGACTTATCCAGTCCTACCCCATGACATCATCTTACCATCATTGGTTTACAAGCAGTATCTCTACATAGATAATTCTCTTCAAACCACACAAGTAACTAAAAAATTATTACATAGCGTTAACATTCATACACCACACCCACAATGTTCCATCTAATTAATCATTAAGCCTGTTCTTGCATATATCTTGATTGACACATACCTTTATATTTATGTTTAAACTCATCAATTCTATTACTATTTTTTATGTCCACACTTAAATTATTCCATAGTTTTACCCCACTTATAGAAATACA